GTGTTTTAAACTTTGTTTATGAAAGCTTGCCACAACCTAAATTATTTTAAAAACAAACAAAAAAACTCCTACATTTCTCTCTGATATCTTTATAGTTATTTTTTATGTTTAGCTCTCTAAACATCTAGAATTTGCTATCATTTATGGTATAATGTAGAGTTCTAACTTTCTTTTCCCCTAAATGGGTAGTCAAATTTCCAGCATCATTTATTTAACTAGTTCACCAAATCCTTACTGATTTTAAATGTCACTTTCATGATACTTTAAATCTCTCTACATAATTAGATCTGTCTTATCACTATTGAATTTACTGGTCTATTTTCCTATTGCTATATCAATACCAGGAGTCCCTGGGTTGTGCAAATGGTTAACGAGCTCTGCTGCTAACCAAAGGGTTGGAAGTTCGAGTTCACCCAGAGGTGCCTCAGAAGAAAGGCCTGGTGATCTACTTTTGAAAAATAGTCATTGAAAACCTATGAAGCACAGTTCTACTTGGACACACATGGGGTCATCATGAGTCAGAGAGTTGACTGGATGGCAATCAGTAGTTATATCAATACCACATTGTAAAGATTTATATTATGTTTTGATATAGGGTAATCCTCCCTAATTATTACTTTTCAAAAATTTATTGGCTATTTTTCCCATTTTCTCCTCCAGATGAACCTTGGAATTGTTGTTGTTTCATAAAAAATACTATTACATTTTCAATTGAAAGTGTATTGAATTTATGGATTAATTTGTGGAAGAAATGACATCTTTACATCAAGGAAGATGGTATGTATGTCCAGGTGTTCCTTAATGTACTTTTATAAATTTTGTGGTTTACTTAACATGGGTATGTTTGGAAACCATAAATTCCTTCTTGAGAATTTATCTAGATAAATTCCTAGATAAATCTGACCCTCCATGAGATAGATAATACAATAGCTGCAGCAATGGACTCAAACATACCAACAATTGTGAGAATGGCAATGTTTCATTTGGTTATACAAAAGGTTGTCACGAATGGGAGCCGACTCAATGGCAACTAAGAATTCTTAGATACATAATAGTTATTGTGTTTTATATTTTCGAAGAATCAGCTGGTTTTTGTCTATCTATCTACCTACCTACTTTTTTCCCCTCTAGTACTGCTTTCACTGCATTCCACAGGTTTTTATATGTACTCTGTCAATGTTATTCATTCCTAAAGAGTTTGTACAAGAAGAATGGCAAGAAAAGAGGCTGTAGGGAGAGAAGCCCAATGTGATGCCTCCTGGCCATTTTAGGGGAAGTAGCCACTCTTTTCTGCTTCTGACTCTATTCTCTTGTTCCTTTCTTTCCTTCTTTCTTTTCTCCCATTTTTTTCCCAAAGCCTCTACCTCTCCTCTGTCCCCCTTTTCAAATAGCTGTTTTCTTCCAGTCTGGGAGTATAGACAACTGATAAACTCCTCTACAAATGGCTTGCCTTCCCCAGGAGCAGTAGTTGTTGTTAGCTGCCATCAAGTCAACTCCAACTCATGGTGACCCCACGTACAACAGAAAGAAACACTGCCCAGTCCTGCCCCATCCTCGCAATCACCAGCATATTCAGGCCTATCATTGTGGCCACTGTGCCAATCCATCTCACTGAGGGTCTCCTTTGCCCTTGCTGGACCTCAACTTCGCCAAACATGATGCCCTCTTCCAGTGAATGATCTCTCCCTCCTGATGATGTGTTCAAAGCAAGCAAGTTGAACAGTGTTCTTTTGTGAGCCATAAAGTTTCATTGGTTGATTTTTGGAAGTGGATCACCAGCCCTTTCTTCCTAGTCTGCCTTAGTCTGGAAGCTCCACTGAAACCTATCCATCATGGGTGACCCTACTGGTATTTGAAATACCGATGGCATAGCTTTCAATGTCACAGCAACATGCAAGCCACCACAATATTACAAACTGACAGATGGGTGGTGGTCCCAGGAGTACCTGCCTTCTAAGTGGATACAGGGAGAGGAGAAAAAACTTACCACAGAGAAAGAAATGGGTGGGTGATTGTAAAATTCTAAGTTGAGAAGAAAATAATAGGGAGGGAGAAAGGAGAATAAGGAGAGAAAAGAGGTGGACATCTGGTGTTCACAAATCTGCTGTGCTGCTCATTAGTGGTTAAGGTTTGATCAGTGAAAACTTTTGGTGCTGTCCTGGGCTCCTTGAGTCACCTGTCATTTGGGCTTAGTGGCTGCAATCCTTTGGAGAACAGAGAATGCTGATGAATTATGTTCTGAGGAAGGAGTGGGCAATGGTAAAAGTCTAGGTAGAGGAAGATTGAAGAGGGCGAAGGAGAGGATTGGCTAAGGACTATTTCTGCTGCCAACACCAGGAAAAAAGCAGGTGGAATTTTATGCCCCTGGGCCTCAGATTCCCACCCATATTCCAGTCTTAACGAGCCTAACAATGCTGCCAAGTGTACAGAGCATGCTAATCTTTAAATAAAAATTGATTCAAAATATTTATTTTAAAATTATTATTTTTTATTACATGCTTGAAGAATATCCCTTTCACTCATCCTATAGACCAGGGCTTCAAAATATCTTTGGGTTATTTTTCAACCTTCTCCCTGCTTCCCTGGAAAAGGGAAAGCAATCCAAATATTGAATGTCATATTCTGAGCTAGGCACAGTAGTAGACACTTTATATTGAAATCCATAAGATAATTACTATCATTCCAGTTTTATAGATGAGGAAACTGGGCCCAACCAGATTAGGTAACTTGTACAAGGACTTATTTCTGGCAGAGGTGCTCAGGGGTCCTACTTGTCTTTGGGATCATTTGACATTTATTTAGTACGTAATGTGTACCAGGCACAAAACAGACAAAAATTCTTGTCTTCATAGAATTTACATTCTGTTGTGTTGGCAAGACCCTGGGTTTATTTTCATTGGTATCTTGACATTCAGCAATACGTACCCATCATAACACTCTATTCAGAGAGAAGCTTAATTCTGAGTAGCATCTTAGTTACACTTCCCTTGGGGATTCGACTTCAACCCTTACCATAAGCCTACAGGGAGTTCTGAATTCAGACTCCCTGTTAATTTATATGTTTTGACAAGAAGAACTGCTATTACGCATTGGTGGTTTCAGTTTTATTTCCATGATGATCCCCAAAGGGTAACAGCTAATTGTGTGTTTCTACTGGAGTACTTCCTCCTGTGTTCTACCCTTAAAGATCCTGAGTATCATGGGGCCAGGGCCAGGCAAAACAGCTGGCACAGGTTGGGTGTTCCTTAACTGCTGAATTCAAGTGCAACCTGAATTTGAGAATTCAAGGAATTAATTCATACCATAATCTCCACAGCCCCAGACACTTGCTGCACCTTCTAACAGTATTTTTCTTGCTGTCCAGAAGTATGGTGGAACTTCTATGAAAATGAATTTTTCACTTATATAACACTTTAATACGCAGTGAGTAGAATTGTTACCACAACTGTTGGAATACATGGGATGGGGCAGATGAAAATTTCTTGGCATCTATAGAAATACAAAATACTTTGGTTAAAAACACTGTATTATGAGCATGCTAAAGCTCCAAGATGGAAATCTTGGAGCAGCCTGCCACCTTCAGGATAACTTTCTAATTAACTCTACCAGAGATCACTGGTTTTAACCTCTATAAAATACCAAACACTAATCCCAGCAAAAACGTTTCAAGATAACCAGTGGTGGAAACGATGTTCCTTATAGTGCTTTCACTGTGATTAACCATTAGATTTAACAGTTAGATTAATTTTCCTCAAATAAAACTGCCCCTTTCTTTCATCATCTTTATTTCGATACTCTGCTTGCTTTTAAATTGGTTTAAAACAATCTACTTAATTTACTAAGCAGAACTGAGAACACTAAAACAAATCTGGCCTCCACAGTCTGAAAAATATTGTTAACTTTGGAAACTCTGCTGCTTCCTTCCTTGCTGGTTTCTTCTATTGTGGATTAATCACAAAATTTCTAAAGAACACTTAAAAGCAGTACTGCAGCCAACTCATTCAGAAATGGAGGAAGGAGGAGGTGGGAGGAGAGTCTAGAGGGAGAAAGTGAATGCTATAGCACTCGTTTTTTCTAACGTCTTACTGGCTGTTCCTTTCATTGTTATATATAAAAAAAAAGTTATCTAAAAAAAAAAAAAGGGCGAGAGAATGACGCGGCAACTCAGCGCTTAATAGTATAGAAAAATAAAACAAATTAATACGAAAAAATAGAGAGATGGGAAAGGGAAGCTAACTGAAATCAATACCATGAGGTCAAATGAAAAGTTTTGAGAGCGGGATGTAAAATAGAAAAAGAATATGATGGCTCAGAAATGCAGACAGGGGACAGGAAAACATGGGGCAATTAAAAAAATAGAGTGGATGAGAACAAATACTCAGAGAAGGATTACACTTTCATTATTTTCCTTCCACAAAAGCAGGAAAGGGCAACGTTAGAACCCTCCTTGATTATGGCGTAATTCCCAAAAAAACCAAAGCCATTGCCGTGGAGTTGATTCCGACTCATAGTCGAGGGCACCCTGCAGTGTAATTAATTTCCTCTTTATTGACCTCCTCGCTTTGCGGCATTGAGCTGTGGAACAACTTCAAGGTCAGTTTCCCTAGAGCTTTCATTCTTAACTCGGACTGCACTTTGGAATCACGTGAGAAGCTTTTAAAAATTGCCCAATCCTTCACTCTAGACCAATTAAATCAGAAAGGCTGAGGTGGGGATGGAAACAGAATTGGTTTAAAGCTCCCGGGTGACTCCACAAGTCTTAAACCACAAGTGGAGGACCTTGCTGGGTCCTCCCGGAGGAAGCGGCCCCTCGTGGGAGGAGGTCGCCCGCCGGGGAAGACCGCGCTGCCTCGGATTTGTTCTGGGAAGAGCGTGTGGCCTCCCAACCGCTAGGGGGAGACCGACACGCATTTAGCGTTTGTCTCCCGGCGCGCGGCCCGGCCAACCCCAGTGGGCGCATGCTCCATGCGTCCCGGAGGTTGCTCAGCGCTGGTGTTTCCTCACGTGCGGCGTGAACCTTAGGGCATCATGCTGTAAGAAGATGGGGGGATCGGTGACTCGCGCCGTCAGGAACTTCAATCTAGAGAACCGGGCGGAACGGGAAATCAGCAAGATGAAGCCCTCTCTTGCTCCCAGGCACCCCAGTACCAAGAACCTACTTCGCGAGGAGATGAGCCGTAAGTGGTGCGACGGCTCGCGGATTTTGTCCGCGGGCTGGAGGGTTCCGCACCCGTGGGCCTGGTTCGCAGGCCAGGGTGACCACTATAAACCTGTGAGGCCGCAGCGACTCGGCTCAGCTGCCCTGGGGCGGGAGAAGTGCGGGCCGGCCGCGTCGGACGCGGGGGAGGTAGAGCCACTAGGCGGGTGACATTGAGACTGCCCCTTTCGCGCCCGCGGTTGAGTCGGCGGCTCCGCCCAGTTATCCGCCCTTCGCCAGCTTTTCTCTTTAATGCTGAGAGAGTGGAAGCGGAGCGTCAAAATCAGAAGGCATTTTGTGCCGCTGGAGTGAATGACGTGTTCCCAATAAGAAGAAAGACAGTCCTTTTTAGTGTCGTAGTTTTTTCCAGGTGTCTTCACAAGGATAAACGCCGAGCCGGACCTAGTGTTTTGATTTTCATTTAAAGTCCGCACTGTCCAAATGATTATGTTTATTAAAAAAAGAATTTGAAAGTGGCTGTCTTGTGTTGTGCTCAGGATCTTAGAGGAAATTATTTTTTTGGTTTTAATATTGTGGTTTTTTTTCCCCCCCTTAGGCCATCCGGAAGTTAAGGGAGAAATTACTAGAAAAGATGACAAGCTGCTGTCATTACTAAAAAATGTTTATGTTGATTCCAGAGATCCTGTGTCTTCTGCGCAGGTACGTTTTAATTAAGTAAATAAGTAGTTTAACCTTTCTGGGCTCTAGGAAAATGATGTGTTACTTTCTCTCTGTAAATGCTATCAGAGATCAAGAGCAGTGTTACAAGTGGTAGAAGTGAGCACTGTGCAGGTGTAAAAATACCAGTGTAATTGTGACAAGAGTACAGTGTATTGGCAGAGTTTAAGCACAGTGGGCTTGGTTCATTGGCTATTTTCTGAATTTCTTAAAGACTTGTAAAAGTATTGATTGAATACCAGCTTCATGATTTATTTGATGTTGTTTCAGAATGTGTGATTTGATAAGGCACTTCTGGTAGTTGTCATTTGAGCGACCAGAAAACTTACTGCTGTCAGTTAATTCCAACTCAGCGACCCTCTAGGACAGCATAGAACTGCCCCACAGGCTGGTGGATTCCAATTGTTGACCTTTTGGTTAGCAGCTGAGCTCTTACACAGTGCACCACCAGGGGTCCTGAGTGACCAAAGCAATGCTTTAATATTCTTTTCTCTTCCTTCTTTGGATTGAGATGTGTTGTAATTTCAGGGACTCCTCCTTCAGTATTGTTTTTTTAAGGACATACCCAGATAGTATATATACCATTAGAATAAATAGAGAATGGGGACCTGTATGTAAGTCCATATATCAGTGTTGGGCATAATAACCATGAACAGGGACACAGACATTAAACAGATGAGACATTGTACATAATTACTGATGTGTCTGTGAAGAAGCATTATTGGCACTGTGAGAGTATACCCAAAAACCCAGTGCCATCAAGTTGATTCTGACTCATAGCAACCCCATGGGGTTTCCAAGGCTGTAAATAAATCTCTATGGAAGCCGACTGCCACATCTTTCTCCCGTGGAGCCGCTGGTGCTTTTGAACTGCCAGCTTTTCAGTTAGCAGTCGATTGCTTTAACCACTGAGTATACCAGAGGGACCTACTTTAGATTGGAGGATGAGGGATTGTTTCTGAGGAAGTGACATTTCAACTCAAACCTGAAGGTTGAGTTGGAATTAAACAGATGAGTTTGTAGCGGGAGCAGAAGGGCTCTAAGCAGGGGAAAGAGTTTGATCAAGAAGAGGGAAGTACCAAGGTTGACACCCAGATTTTTTTTCCATTCTAAAATTCTCTGGTTCTTTCTGTCTTCTCTCTAGATAGGCAGTAGACTTAAGTATTTGCACCAGTGGGTTATTAATATAATTTTAACTGGAAAATAGAAAAACAATTCATATGCAAAGTAAGATTTGTAAATTGTTGCATGTGGTAGCAATTATAAGTTTCATTTTCTACTAAATGCATACACAAAAAAGATAGTGGTGTATGTCCATGGTCTTTGTTATTTGTAGATTGGTGTTGCACTAATACTTCCAGGTGTTTTCTTTCATGTTATACTAAATTATGCATTTGAAAATTGGTTCTTGGAAGGGTGAAGAAAATTAACTCCCTTTATGTATAATGCACAGATACACATATAATACATAAAGACGTACATAAAACCAAAAACCAAACCCACTGCCGTTGAGTCGTGGTGGCATTAAAATTTCATGGGCAGGTATTAGGAAAAGTCAAAAAAGACTCATTAGGGGGGTGATAATAAAAAAAGGTTGAATTTGCTGGTTACATTCTTTTTCCCTTTTTTATTTTGGGTTATTAAGAGTTTTGTTAATGATTTGTAATGTCTCTAGACATTAATGACACTGTCATATGGCAAATTATTTGTTGTTAACTTTTTTTACTTAATTATTGCTGTTCAGAATTCTATCAGATATGTTGACCTTTTTCTCCTTTATGGTATGTATAGGAATTCTGGGCAGACTCTAACATCATAAAAATAATGTTCTATATTTTCTTCCAGTATTGTATGTTAAAATGTTTATCTATTTGGTATTAAACACAGTATTTGGTGTGTGAAGAGATCAGTTTAACCTCTTTGCAAATGGATGACCAGTGGTCTAACTGTAATGATTGACCAACTCAGTCCTTTTTCCACTCACTTAAAATGCTACTGTATGTATAGACAAGGAGCCTTAGTAGTGCAGTGATTAAGCACCCAGCTGCTAACTAAAAGGTTGGTGGTTCAAACCTACCCAGCTGCTCTGTAGGAGAAAAGACCTGGTGATCTGCTCCAGTAAAGATTACAGTCTAGAAAACCCTGTGGGGCTGTTCTGCTCTGTCATATGCATCACTGTGAGTCAAAAATCGACCTAATGGCACCTAACAACAACAAGATATGTGTATACACACCCACACGTATATGCACATGTGGATTTGTTTATGGACTTGTCAGTTCTATTTATAGTTCTACACTAGAACCTCACCTTTTTGATTAACAGAGCTTACTAATATGTTTTGATGTTTGTTACATCTCATTATTTTCAAAAATTTCTTGGTTTTTACACATTCTTTTCTTTCCAGATAAACTTGAAAATCAAATTGTCAGGTTCTTTTAAAACTCCTATTTGGATTTTGAGTGTGACTGAATTAGAAGTTATAGATTCATTTGTGGAGAATTAACATCTTTAACTTAATAAGTCTATGGCGGATAGAAGGGAGGTTGTTGTTGTGAGTGGGATCTTTTTCACCCAAAGTTTATAAACTGTTTATTGCTTATTGGTCAGAGAGTGATTTTTTGTATTGAAGCTACCCACATTGCTAAGTTATTATTTCTTTTAGTTTTTTTAGTTGATTCTCTTATTTACTTCTCTAAAAGATATTTTCATATCATCTGCAGGAAATTATAATTTTCTCTTCCATTCTGTCTCTTAAACTCTTATTGGGTTGTCTTTAACATTAACAGCTATAAAAGTGAACGTACTAACTTTTTCCTTTCATAGGATGGCTCTAATGTTTCTGCATTAATTATGATAATGTAATATTGGTTTCTGATTAAAAAAATACTTTATTGCATTTGGGAAGTCTTCTATTTCCTATTTCCTAAGAGTTTTCTTTTTAAAAAAAATACCAGGAGAGTGTGTTGAACTCTATCAAATAATGTTTCAATGTCAAATAATATTAATTATAGTATTTAATGTTAATCAGAAGGGAAATCTGAATAGAGGTATGTATGGAGTAGAAGGGGCATCTTCCTGGGAATGGGAAGATGAGAGAAGCTTTTCATTTTGGAAGGTGAAGAAGAAGTAGGTAGAGTGTTTCAGGCCAGGCTTGCAATATGGACGAATGAGAGCGTGCTGTGCCTTTGGAAAACGGTTAGGGTTCAGTACAGTTAGGGGAAGGTGGGAGAGGGTGATAGGGGCAAGATCATGAAGGTCTTTGTTTTGCTAAAGAATTTAGGTTTTATCAAATGGGAAGTCTTTGAAGAGCTTAATGCTGAAAAATGGCATGAGATTTGCTTCATAATGGGGATAGTTTGGAGTGTAGACTGGAAGGGAACAAACTGACTTCTGTCCAGTTTGGGGAGGCCAGTTAGGAGGCTTTTATAATATAGTTCCTGCGAGAGATGTTGGCTTGGGCTAGAATGATTTAGTGACGGGGAGAGAAGTGAATGGGTTTGAGAGAGACTTAGGAGGCAGTGTCAACAGGATTTGGTCATTGATTAGATGGATGAGGAAGAGGGTAGTATGAGAATCCCTAGTTTTTGGCAAGGGATAAGGGCGTGGTGGTGTCAGTCATTGAGTTGGGAATATAGCGATAGAACTAGATTTTCAGGGAAAAATGATAATTCTGTTCTAGACATGTTGAATTTTAGGTGCTTGTATATAATACAAGTGGAGATGCCCTTTCAGCATTTGGGAATTTGGGTCTGGAAGTCAGGAGAAAGGTGTAGGTCTGAGATCACAGATTTGGAAGTGATTAACATAACGATTATATGGAAGTTAGGAGAGTGTGAGGGATTATTTAGGAAGAATGTGTAGGAGTGAGAAAAGGGCCTGGGTCTGAACTTGGGGAGTGCATCATTTAAGGAAAAGCAGAAGGTAAAGGAGTCCACAAAGAAAACCATAAAGGAACCACTGGAGGGGCAGATAGAGAGTCAGAAGATGATTGGCATGGAAACCAAGAGGAAAGATAGTCACAGGTTTACTGTAGTGGTCAACAGTGTTAGATGCTGTAGTGAGTTCAAATAAGGCCTGAAAAGCACTTTCTGGATTTAACAACTGGGAGATCATTGGAGATGGCAAGTGTCATTATCTTTTAAACTTCACTAAAAAGAAAACTGGCCATAAAGGTGGTTTGGAGTTATGTGGGTTCTTAAAAAAGGTAGTGACTACAGCATTTTTGTATTTTGGTAGAAGGCAGCACTAGTCAGGGTGCAGTTGAAAAAGAAAAGGAAATGATTGGCATAGGTAGGTAATGGGAGTGGAACACAGAGCAAGGATGCAGGGGGTGAGGTAGGATGGGTATATATAGGTTGTTTTGTTTACTTTTTGTATGGTTGTTGGGGGCATTATAGTTTACTTTCTCTAAAGTAAGAATCAAGGTCTATAGTAGTATTTGAGTTAGTTCAAGATGTTTAGGGGATACTGAATATGAAATATAAAACTAGGAAACAGAATGAAGGTTATTAAGTAAAGCTATTAAGGCAGAATCAGAATTCTACCCTTCTATAGCAGGATTAGATCTAATCTAATCAATTATTATTATTATTACTTTGTTCTTTTAGTATGCATGAAATAGTCTGAGTGAATGATGTATATTCAGTTATTATTTTCTAGAACTAACTAAATTTATTAGTGATGATTTAAAGCTATGTTAATGAAATGACAATATGGCAAAAGTGTCATCAAACTATGGCTCATCATAATGAGAAAATATAGTTTAGGGAGGCATGTGTGGTATTTATTTGAAGGGCAGGAATGAGGATATAAGAAGTATGAATTTTTTTCTCACTTTTTTTTTTTTTTTTTAATACTAGGTAAAAGATGATGGAGCACATCAAAAGCCAAAGGAGTTCAGGTTGCCAAAAGGCCATCACTTTGATGTAGTGAATATTACAAACATTCCCAAAGGCAAAATTTCGATTGTAGAGGCATTGACACTTCTCAATAATCATAAACTTTATCCAGATATGTGGACTGCTGAGAAAATAGCACAAGAATACCATCTAGAACTGAAAGATGTAAATTCCCTTCTCAGATACTTTGTTACTTTTGAAGTCAAAATCTTTCCTCCTGAAGACAAGAAAGCAATACAACCAAAATGAAGAAAATCATGAAATTACTCTTCCTATGTATACTCTCCAGTTTATGTTAAATTATATAAATTGCTGAGTGTTTAAAGCTCTCTCCTTATGAGAGCATACTATTTATTGAGCTCTGCTGACTTCTTAGGATTGCTGAGAGAATGATTTTTTTTTTTTTTAACTTTGGTTTAGGCATATGATTGTATGTATATGTCAACAGGACTAATCAGCATAACATCTGTAAATTTATTGTAATAAAATAATGTGTCATTTTAGGCATATTGTATCAGCTTTTAAATTGATCATGTGGTCTGTTGGGGAATGCCCTCAATCCCTCATTTAACATTCAGAGTTTCATTTTTCACTTTAGGTGGTTAGTGACAGTAAGAGCTTTCCTGACTGTTAAGACCTTTTTTGCTAGAGAAAGGTAAACTTGGCAGTAAGGTAGAATAATTAGTATTTCCCAAATAAAAGCAGATAGCAGAGTTGATAAAAATCAATAGAAAATGCATTTTTTTTTAACTGCTTCAGGAATAGATAAAAATATTGAGGGGTTCCTTAGTTTTAGATTGGCTTTAAGTATGGAATAACTATAAAAAATAAAACAAAAAGCAAAAAACAAAAGTATATACATGTCTGTGTGTGTGCATATATATATATATAATTAGTGGTGTTTCTAAACTTTTTGGTCCTTGGATGGTGCAAACAGTTGGTTTTTTGGCTACTCACTGAAAGGTTGGTGGTTTGAATGCACCCAGTGGCACTGCGAAGAAAGGCCTGGCGATGTACTTATGTAAGATAATAGCCATTGGAAACCTTACACAGCACAGTTCTCTCTGATACACATGTGGTTACCATGAGTTGGAATCAACAGCAATGGGGTATAAACTTTTAGCAGCCTCTGCTTTGACAAAAGGAGCCCTGGTGACATAGTGGTTAAGCACTTGGCTGCTAACTGAAAGGTTGGTGGTTTGAACTCCATGGCGGAAAGATGTGACAGTCTGCTTCCGTAGAGACTTGGGAACTATGGAGCAGTTCTCTGTCTTAGGTTGCTATGAGTCAGAATTAACTGCAACAGTTTTGATATTTTGGTTTTGGCTTTGACAAAATAAATAGGTGAATCTAAACTTTTAGAGAGGCAGGCAGCCATGGGAACTGTCTGAAAAATTAACTTTTCTCTAGATTTAATGCAGAAATACGAGAAAATTTTAAAGAACAATTCAGAGAGGAGCCATGGTAAATGAGATATGGTGATCAAATACATGTATAGTCATCCCTCAGTATCCGCAGGGGATTGATTCCAGGAAACCCATGAATACCAAAATCCATGAATGCTCAAGTCCCTTATATAAAGTAGCATAATATTTGCATGTATAATCTATGTACATTCGTATACTTTAAATCATCTCTAGATTACTTATAATACCTAATACAATGTAAATGGTATGTAAATAGTTGTTATACTGTATTGTTCAGGGAAGAAGAATCCCAGGAGAACAATGCTCAATGAGTGCTGAAGAGAGACTAAAGATCTGTGAAATGGTGGGAGGCTACAGCAGGTTATACCTACACATTTCATTCGCATGGATTCAGCGCGTTGTGCTTGGTGTGCCGCAAATTCAAGTTTTGCTTTTTGGAACTTTTTCCCCCCGAATATTTTCGATCCGGTTGGTTGAATCCATGGATGCGGAACTCACAGATACGGAGGGCTGATTATTTTCTAATTTTAATACTAGTTGGGAAAAGGGAAAAGTAGCATAAAATGTGATCCTTATAAAGGTCCTGGTAAGTTGCTGATCCACCCATTTAACAAACTTGCATGAACACACTATACCAGTACTAGGATCTTCAGCAAGACTGTGAGTTTAGCTCTGCCATATACTATCTGTGGGGTCTTGAGTAGATCATGTAACCTCTGAGACTGAATTTTATCTCTAAGATGGGTATAATGCCTTAAATCTAAGGGTTGCTGCAAAGATGAATAAAGGGACTATGAAGACTAAACAAATATGAACTATTTGTTGCAGTTGAAAACAAAGGCCTGGGGAGGATACCTGACCTAAGATTATCTTAGTTTATGACCTAGCCAGTTCTAGAATTTGTGTTTTTCAGAATCCTAGTAGGATATTTTTTCTGCTATGCCCAAAAGAAACATAACCACAAAAGTGCAGGAGGTGTGAGTTGTAGAAATATTAGGGAATGTAGTAAAATTACAGGTTGTCAGTGTCTTTGTCAGGTAAGAAATCCTCACCCCTATATCTGTGGAAAAAATACTGAAGTTGGCAATGATTTCATTTTACTTGGATCGATAATCAATGCCATGGAAGCAGCATTGGGCAAATCTACTGCGAGAGACCTCTTTAAAGTGTTAAAAAGCAAAGATGTCACCTTAAGGACTAAGGTGGGCCTGACTCAAGCCATGGTATTTTTAATTGTCTCATATGCATGCAAAAACTTGACAATAAGGAAGACCAAAGAAGACTTGATGCCACCTTCTTATGGTGTTAGGAAGAATATTGAGTATACCATGGACTGTCAGAAGAACAAACAAACCTTGTCTTGAAGACATACAGCTGGAATCGTCCTTAGAAGGGAGGATGACAAGACTTTGTCTTCCATACTTTGGACATGTTATCAGGAGGGACAAGGCCCTGAAGAAGATAGAGAGTCAGTGAAAAAGAGGGAAGACCCTCAATGAGATGGACTGACACAGTGGCTACAACAATGGGCTCAAACACAGCAACAATTGTGAGGATGGCGCAAGACTGGGCAGTGTTTTGTACGTAGGGTTGCTATGATTCTGAACTAACTCAGCAAGAACATATCTGTGGATATAATCCCATTTGGGAATAGGGTTTTCTTTGTTAATGAGGCCACATCAGTGTAAAATGTATTTTAAGTCAATCACTTTTGAGGTATAAAAGGAACAGATTAGGCACAGAAGCAGGCAAGCTCTAGTGGGTGAAAGGTAGATGCCACATGGAGATCACCAAGGAATTTGGAGAAGAATGCTAGAGAAACTGAGATAAAGATTTTCCCCCTGAGCAGATGAGAAACTCTTCTTCTAGAGCTGACACCCTAACTTTGGACTTTTAACCTCCCAAACTGTGAGAAAATTAAATTTCTGTTTGTTAAAGCCATCAACTTGTGGTATTTCTGTTATAGCAGCACTAAGAAACTAAATAAATATGTTTTCAAATGCAGTTTCTTTGTGTGAATAGATCATGTCTAGTTTATACTTGGTTCAATACAGTATTTTTAAGAAAACAAGAACTCAACGATATAAAATAGCATTTTAAATAATACCAATTTTTTTTAATCAATGCTTGAACCACTAGTACTGCAATTTCTGAACATCTTCTCTGTTCAAATCTGCGTGGTGTGGTTTGTCCCATGCACAATGGAATGAAAGGCTGTCCCAAGTCCCATGCCATCCCCATGATTGGGTGTAGATTGGACTGTTGTGATCCATAGGATTTTCCATGGCTGCATATCAGCAGTAGATTTCCAGGCTTTCTTTCTCTTCCATCTTAACTGGAGGCTCTACTGAAACCTGTTCAGCATCACAGCAACATGCAAGCCTCTACTGACAGATGGGTGATGGCTGTGCATGAGGTACATTGGCCACGAATCAAACCCAGGTCTCCCACGTGGTAGTTGAGAATTTTACCACTGAGGCACTAATGCCTTATACATGGTGTGGTAGGCAGCTATAAATGTAGCCCCTGTTATATGGTGTCCCATGATAAAATACTTCCCATATCACTCATTAGCCCTGAGATACTGCTTTTTATTATGTGTAGGAAAACACTTGGGTAGTAGTGGTATTCCAAACAGTGCATGAAGTTTAGCTTTAGAAAACCTGGGCTTAGATCTCAGCGTTACCTAGCCGTATGATCTCGGAAGTGTCCTTAACTGTAAAACTAAAACAGAAGTATTAATAATTGATAAAGTTGTTTTACAAGCAATTACTATGTACTAGGCTCTCATCTAGATGCTTTACCCATATTTTACAGGGAAAATTGAAGACCAGACAGCTTCAGTAACTTTCCAAAGGTTACCTGGTAGGTGGTGCAGCCTGGACTTAAATCCTAGTAGGTTATAGGTTATCTCTGGAACCTTGCGCTCCTAACCACTACCCTATGTTGTCTGTCTATAGGATTACAAGGAGTAAGTGAGATGACATGCAAGATGCCTGAGACATATAAGAATCACCTGTGCAGCTCTGGAAAAATAGAGATGCTTGGACCCTCTCTACCATAGGAAACTCTGGTTTAAAGTTTGTGAGACTCCTATGCGCCTGTATTATGTAAAATATATAGTGGATAAGAGCCGCTGTACTAGGCAATTGAGAATGTCAGGTTGTGTGAGACAGCAGTGAAGTAACTCACGCTACCTTTTGATTCAGCCAGAAAACTTCACCTTCAGGACCTTCTCAGATGGATACTGCTGTTCTTGCCTACTATATACCATATTGCTAGGAGTACATCAGGATAATGTCATAGATTTATTGTATTTTAATGACAGGAAGGCATTTGATATCCTTTTGGGCATAATGGAAAAATATTTTTGCATACCTTTAGCTCTAGTAAAGTAAACTCTGGAGCTGTGGGGTGCTTATCTGCTCACAGTAAGCAGAGAATGTGGGTCTATAAAGTAAACAGTGTATCAGGTGTACAGAGGAAGCACAAAACTGGCTTTCCACTTCCTATTTGTGACCCCTCTGAGGCCATCTGTATTCTAGGTGAGACACTTCATAATAACTGAAAGAGCCCTAGCTAACGTACGTAGGAGCTGGCTCTGCTTTTTGTAATCCCTTACACTGACGGTGCTTCCCAGTGGGACTTGAGACTGGGAAAGTAATAATGTAGGTGGATTATATCATTCGCCCGCATTCATGCTTAGAAAAAAAAGGACTACAAACTCAATATGAACGAATAATATTATGGTCCTATTAATTGAAGTCTGCATCAATAGGGAGAAGGGAGAATAATAGTTACATTCTATCAGACAGTGCAACAAAATATTGTTCTATAAAACATCATGAGAAGAGTAGATAATAGTATGGGGTAATCAAACTATAGAAAGAAATTACTAGAAACTCAGATGAGAGAAGGAAATAGATTATCTCAGCCTTTATATCTTTCATAAATAAAAGTACATAAATAAGTCCTGACAACAACTTTCTTAAAGTTATTTAAAATTGAGATGAAAAATAATTATAAAATATTTTGACATCCTCATTCATTCATCATATGTTTATTAGGTGCCTACCATACACCTAGTAATCCCTGGGTGTGCAAATGGTTAAGTGCTTGGCTACTAACCGAAAGGTTGGCAGTTCAAATCCAACCAGAGGCACCTCAGAAGAAAGGCATGGCGAATACATGGGGTTGCCATGAGCTAGAATTGAATTGGTGATTACCATGTACCCAGCACTATTGTAGAGGCTGAGGATACATCGATGAACAAGATGATGTCCCTGATCTTGAACCTACATCACCTTTTAAATAAGGGAACACACATTAATTTCATTTTGTAGATTTTAATGTATTTTCTTTGTTATGTTATCTGTAGCTCCTGGCAAAGCAGGGGCTTAATAAATGTTGAGCAAGTG